CCTTGCTACCTTGTTAGAGCCTGGCTGTGCTATGGGCCATGGGCAGCCTCCGCTGAGCATGTGTGAGGCCTGCATCACCCACCCATGCCAGGTCCTGAGGTCTCCCTGTCTGGACTCATGCTCAAGTTCACAGCACTCTAGGTAACAACCATGTCAGGCCTTGCTGCTGGAAAGTGCATGTGATGCTTTGCCCTGTGAAAAAGTATCTAAGATACCAGAGAATACTAAACCATTGTGTCCGAAGGACGGTTTTATGAAGTGTTTGTTTGCATACATTAGTTGTACAGGGCAGGAGGATTCATTGTGACATTCCCACACATGCATACAATGTACCCCAAATTCCCTGCCCCTCAATCACACTCCCTTATCCCATTCCCCTTCTTAAGACAATTTCAGTTCTATTTTTAATGGGCAAACAGACTACTTTGAACTTGTTCATCCTTTCCCTCCCATTCCCACTACTACACCTCCAACAGTGCCTCCCTCCCTCCTTCTATCCTTCCCTTCTCATCTCTCTTCTTTTCTTTTTAGATTTGTTGTAGGTAGAGTCTTGCTATGTAACCCTTGCTGGCCTTGAACAACCTCTCAAATGCTAAAATTAAAAGCATGTATCACCATGCACACAAAAAAGAGTTCTTTAGAATTAAAAAAAAAAAAAAACACCTTTAACTAGTTATCCAAAGGGGTTTCAACTCAGCATATCTGTTTCTGAGTGCTACACATGTTGACCAATGTCAAGCCTTCCTTTGTGCTCCCCCATCACTGAAGTAAAAGCAGGCAATTAGAAAACAAAGTACACAAGCTTTCCAACTTGGAATTAGGCGAATTGGGCTTGAAGCCGGAGTGCCTGGACTTAGAAAGCTGACTTTGCACTGGGTTTTAACTTTCCTGATCCTTGTGTTTGTTTTTGTTTTTCTCACAACTAGAAAACAGTGGTGCCCCTAACACCATCCACAATTCTCATGCCTGTTTATAGGGCTAAGCTAGACAAAGTGACTGACCCAGCGAATCTGGTACTTACACTGGGATGCTGAAAGCTGCTGATGCAGTAATGGAGAACTGCATTCGTCTTTGCTTTGGAACTGCATATTTATTGTTGCAGATGCTTCTCGTTTACTTATTGTACTGTACTTATTTCAAGTCATCTTTTTGCTATTAGATTGGAAAATATGGCTTGTGAGTCATGACCTGCTTTGTAACTGGAAGAACACTGCCAGTTTGATGGTGGCAGGGTCAGAACTCATCCGTCCCTATGCCGTAAACAAATGGGTGTAATTACTGTGCATCTTGCACAGAGCTGTGTTCTGATGGTGTACAAGTTCTGTGCGTTAGCGTTCATCCAGATGTGACTCACTTCTGCTTGCCGTATGCAAGCTCTTGAACAATGGTGTTTACACTCTTCCCCAGGGTGTAGCCTTCATACCAGCGTTAATTGTATTTTGCTTCTTAGGGAGAGTATTGTTCTGTCATTATAGACTGCTCTGCCCAATATTGACAGTTTTCAGCATTCCACGGCTTTGAGACATCCCATTATCCTCCAGAGACCCCATGCAGACAAACTTAATTAAAGAAAGTCATAATGATCTCGTTGCTGAGGGTTGTACCTGTAAGAAACTGGTCACGGAGACAGATGGATGAGGTAACAGACACTTTGGGTGGTTCTGTGCTCTAGGAATTGTTCCAAGCGTACCACCTTACCGTCTTGGGAGCTGTGACCCACACATACCACATACCTGCTCTGTGGACCGTCTAGAAGGACCGGGTTCGCTTGAGTCTGTCTAGCAGCAAACTCCCAGTAGCCCCGTGGGCACTTCCCCTTCCTTCCAGTACCCACATCACAAACAAGACATTCCGTTTCTCTGTCAGCTGTGAACGGCTATAAGCAAGCCATTCTCACCCCTGAAACCCAGACATCTAATGCCTTAGCTATGTTGTGTCACCAAGGGGTGGGCCCTGATGGAGATTTGGAGACACTCCTGTCTTCCCTGGTCCTGTGCCCTGGCTCACCGGGAGACCTCATGTTGGTGGTTATGACAGCTCTCCCATCGCACACCTCTACGCGAGCTCAAGCTCGTATACAATAATGGGTTACACGTAGGTGCGTCTGGGCGTGATCCAAGTGCTGGGCCACTGCGGTCGGCTGGCTAGGCTGAGCTAGGCAGAGTCTCAGGGCCTCCTCTTGGCCCTCAGAAATGGTTCTTGAAGATGGCCCTTCGAAGATGGCCTTGATTTCCACTTTTTAAAGAAATTGCCATCCAGAACTCCATTGGGGTTTTGAACTCAGGGCCTTGAATGTACTAGGCAGGCAATCTATCACTTGAACTACTACTACTCTCCCAGCCCTTAGTGTGTTCATTACTTTTCTAAGAGCATCCTGCTTTTTCCTGGTCTGGCCTGGACCAACAACTTCCTATTCACCTCTGCCTCACACGGTGGATGACAGAAACCTATTGCCACTCTCAGCTCTACTGTTAAAGAGGACGTCTTGCTAACATTTTGTCTGCATCGATCTCAGACCAAGATTCTCTCTTGCTCTGCCTGCTGAGTAGCTGGGACTCCAGGCTGGAACTACCATACCCAGCTTGGAGTCTTTGATGAAGGAAATATTCTGCTTTGCTACAATATTTGATGAAATTATTCTTTACATACTCAGCATATGTTTTTCCCCATGTATTTTTTGGCTCTTTTACAACTCCACCTAAGGTAGACAAAATTATTCCAGATTGCAGATGAGAAACAAGAGTGGTGGAGGGGAGCACAGCAGCTGGCCCCTTCCTTCATCTGCCTTTGTGTAATGGAATGTAGTCTGTTTCTTAGGAGGAGGTAATGGCTTAGGAGTGCACGCAGCGTAAGTGTTTTTCTTGACGAATTTGCTCAGTACTTTAATTATGTTATAATACCACACCAGTGCTGCTGCTGTGTGTGTCATCGTCACCCTGGGACTGTGATCAGAAATTGATCCGGTACAATCTTGTGAGGTGTCTGGTCCTCTGTGGGAGTGAGCTTCCCCAGGGAAGACACTTCTCTCCTCATTCTTTATCATGTGATTGTTACTGGTGCTGGTGTTACACACCTGTCATCCTAGCTGCTCAAGAGGCTGAGAGAATCATAGTTTAAAGCCAGTCCAGGCAGAAAAGTCCATGAGATAATATTCTTTTTTTTGTTTTTTTGTCGGTTGTGGGGCTTGAACTCTTGGCCTGGGTGCTGTCCCTGTGCTCTTCAGCTCCAGGCGAGTGCTCTACAATTTGAGCCATGGCACCACTTCAAGTTTTCTAGTGGTTTATTGAAGATAAGAGTCTCATGGATTTTCCTGCCTGGGCTGGCTTTGAACTGTGATTCTCAGATCTCAGCCTCCTGAGTAGCTAGGATTACAGGCATGAGCCACTGGCACCCAGCAGAGATAAGATTCTTACCTCCAATTAATCAGCAAAAACCTAGAAGTGGAAGTATGTTTCACATTACCTTCAGTGACAACACCGAACAAGAATAACAGGCCCTGAGTTCAAGCCCTAGAACTGGCATAAAAAAGGGAAAAAAAATGTGCTTTCAGTTAGACATTGAATTTCTAAGGCTAGCATACTTTATAAAGCAAGAGCAAATCAGAACTGAGAAGAGCCACGAAATATTTCCCGTTAGCTTGTGCTTGTCTTTGACTGGATCCATTCAGATTTTCCTATCTCGCCCCCCAGGAAAGGTCAGGGGTCAGTAATGGCCCTCAGGATGCCATGATGGACGGTTGCACATGACTTGGTCTTCCAGGAAAGCATGTGTGTGTCAGCCAAGTAAATGTGAGCTCACATCTGGTTAAAGCAATGGGTTCCTTACTGGGTGGTGGAATTTCACAGGAGAATGATGAGATGGCCAGGCCTTTCCTCAGTGTTCTAAGGGTTAACTACAAGGATGGAAGATAAAGAACGTAGCACGGCGCTGGAGCGAGGGTGAGGGGCAGTGCCGGGGGACATGTCTCTGATCATTGTCGGCATTTATGGATGTGTCAGAGTGAAGCCCTCTTGTACAACCACAGGGTGCCAGTGAAAGTATGCAGAAGACACAGGACCTTAGCCCCGGTGGACGCAGGCCATGCCTGTGAGCAGGTTCGCTGTCTACCACCCTGGCGGCCTGTGCCCTGGTGCTGGGTGTGGATTTGCTGGAGCTGTGCTGAGGGTCCCCCAGCCTCAGCTCACGATCCACCCTCCAGAGCTAACCCCGTGCAGAGCAGACACCCTGTAAATACTCACCAAATGAATGAACCTAGGGTGGTAATGAGCTGCATAGGAAAATATAAAATGATAAGGAATAGGACACTTGACTGGTGGTGGTGGTGTTGTGCATGCACACACACACATGTAATGCTGAGGCTTGAATTCAGGGCCTCACACTGGCTAGACAATCGCTTGATCACTTGGACCATGCCTTCAGTTCTGTTGCTTTCACTGTTTTTAGACACGGTCTTGTATTTTGTGCCTTTGACCACCCAGTTCTACCTGTGCCACGCGTCTAGCTGAGATGACAGGCAAGCACCACCGCATCCAGCTTTATTGGTTGAAATACTAGTGTTTCCCCTGGAATTGCTCCTTGCTCCAAACCATGATCCCTCCATCCCATCCCGGCCTTCTGACTAAAACCGGGAGTATAGGCATGAGCTACCCGGCTCAGCCCTTGACCCATCTTTTTTTTTTTTTTTTGGCTGGGCCTGGGCTAGGACTTGAACTCTGGGCCTGGACATGTCCCTGGGCTCCTTTTGCTCAAGGCTAGTGCTCTACTATGTGAGCCACAGCACCACTTCAGGCCTTTCCTCTGATGAATTGGGAGAAGAGTCTCATGGATTTTCTGCTTGGGCTGACTTCAAACTGTGATCCTCAGATCTCAGCCTCCGAGTCACTAGGATGACAGGTGTGAGCCACTGGCACTTGGCTTCGATTGTTCTCTGAGTGGATCACTGTGTCCTCAGCTTTCAGGAAGTAAAGATGTTAACAGACTCTCTTCTGTTTTTCTACCAGTGCCTGAAACAGTATGTTGAGCTCTTGATCAAAGAAGGGCTAGAAACTGCGATTAGCTGTCCTGACGCTGCCTGTCCTAAACAGGGCCACCTTCAGGAGAGTGAGGTACGTGTGCGTGTGTGCTTGTGGTTGATCACTGCATTGTGGGAGGCCCTGTCCTGCCAGGCTTCTGGCCGGGGGGAGAGGGCGCAGAAAGGGTTATGTTGAGTTATATTCCTGCACTCTGCTTGTTACACAACTTGTTCATGTCTTTTTCTTTTAGATCGAGTGCATGGTTGCAGCTGAAATTATGCAAAGATATAAAAAGCTACAATTTGAAAGAGGTAGGTGGCCTGGAAAATGATCCAGCTATGATGTATGTACCAGAATGTGGCTTGTTTGAGGGGACTTTGTTTGGGAGGTAAGAGGATCTGTCAGCTGACAACCATAAGAAGCTACGGGAAAATAGACACAGTGGTTCACATCTGTAATCTTAGTGATTCAGGAGGCTGAGATCTGAGGACCAAGGTTTGTTTGAAGCCAGCCTGAGTAGGAAAGTCTGTTAAGACTGGCATCGCTAATTAACCAGCAAAAAGCTGGAGGTGGAGATGTAGTTCAAGTGGTAGAGCACTAGTCATCAATGAAAAAGTCAAGAAAGAGAGAGAGTACAGGAAAAATAAGCAAAGGAGGAGTGCATTACTGACATTCTCTGGGCTTTGGAATTGTTAAACCGTTGAGGGGTCTTGGCGCTGATTGCCTTTTGCCCATGCTGACCTTGAACCACAGTCCTTGCCTCTCCATTTGCTGGGATTTACACCAGCGTAGCACCACACCTGGCTTGTTTTGAGACAGGACCTCATGAACATTTTTGTGCAGGCTGGCCTCCAGCATTGCCTTTTGTCTCCATCTCCCAGTTAGTTGATACTGCAGGCATGCATGATGATGCCTGAAAACCACTTCTTCAAATGCCATATATCATTTGCTTTGTGGAAGTTTATACCTTAACTATAATGTGATACAGTGCTAAATTCAGTATGGTTAGGTATAAATCAACTAATTTGGATTTCTAGGACTTTTGCCCTCATCTGAAAATATTATCCAGAGAGAATCTTGAAAGGAACTGTGGGGAGAGGGAGGGGTTATTTGAGTTATAAGCGTATGACTTTTCAATGACATGAAATTAATTTTAAAATGCAGCTGGGTAAATTTTCCTACCTATTAATTTTAGCTTTTTTAAAAGTACTTTTTCTTTTATCTTGCATCAAAGTGAAGCCAACTCGACTTAGGTTAGGAAAATACCCCTCAAACCTCTCCCTTGAAAATATTTTACAAACGTTACACTAAAGGTTTATTTTTTTTTAAATGAAGGACTTAGACATGTTGCAAAAGTGCTGTCTAAATGAAATGTGAGAATGTTGGAAGTTAAAATATGGCTTTGGATTACATCCGGGCCCTTGCACAAGCTTGGAGATACCACCAGAAAGAAGGCAAATGTTTACCTCCTTCCCTCCCTGCCAGCACAGTCAGAGGAGGAGGTCTTAGGAGGAGACGAATTTCAATGATTTTCCAACAACATCCACAAAGCCCAAGAGCGAGGTTAAGTTGCCACCATGTCTTTGCATTGCCCTGGTACATCGGCTTAGCCTGGATTTTCCCGTACACCTCTCTACTTCCCCAGCCCAGACCTTGGCCAGCAGAAGTGGAAGGCGGTGGGGAGACAGGCTTCCTCTTCTCCCTGAGCACCTGCCCTCCCCGGTGGTGGCTGGCTGGTTCACACATCCATGGAGTGATGGCCAGGCCTGGCGAGGCCCAGCTGTGCCCACCCTGCTGCATCTGTTTGCATGACCACCTGCAAGGAGGGGTGTTTTCTCTCCATGTCCATATGTCTGTCTGGAAGCTCCTCTAGCCGCATAGGGATGGAGCTGCTGGAGTTCTCTAACCTATCTACGGTAGAGGCGCTGGTCCAAGGTAGGCTGAAGTTGAGTCTCAGCTTTAGGACTTTTTTTTTTAAGAAAGCATAATTAGGTGGATACCCATGGCTCACACCTATAACCTTAGCTACTCGGGAGGCTGAGATCTGAGGATCGCAGTTCAAAGCCAGCCAGGGAAGAAAAGTCCCTAAGACTGACTGTATCTCCAGTTAACTAACAACCAAAAGCCACAAATGGAGCTGTGGCTCACGTGGTGGAGCACTCCTAGCTTTTGAGCAAAAAAGCTGAGGGACAGTGCCCAGGCCCTGAGTTCAAGCCCCAGTACTGGCTCAACAGAAAAAGAAAGGTAGGAAGAAAGAGATAGAGGGAAGGGGAAGAGGAAGGGAAGGAAGGGAAAAGGATAAGAAAGGAAGGCTCAGAGAAGGGAAGCAGTATGTGGTGTGCCCACTACTGACTAGTAACAGTTCTGATAAGAACCAACGGCTCCTGAGATCCCTCCCCCACACATGTGTGAGCCCTCTCTCCCCGCTCTCCAGGCAGGCAGCACAGTGGCAGCCAGTGTTTGTGACTAGGGGCGCGGGGGGGGGGTGCTTTAAAAGTAAAATCTATTTTAAAAAAGTCAGCCGTTTCTTTGAAGCTTCAGACATTTTGATAATTAAAGATCTCTTGGGGGCTTGCTTCATTAAGGTTAGTTGAGAAATTAACCACAATTCCAGTCTCCCACACACGAATTACTGCGGCATGACATGGATTATTGTGCCATGGCACGAATTATAGTGCTCCGAACACAAATTACAGTGCCACGAACACATCTATGGGAGGCTGGAATTAGGAGTTGTTTCTCCCGCCATTTCAGAAAACACATTGTTTGCCTTGTTTGCAAACATTTCCCCTATCTGTAAACACAATACAGTAGAGAAATATGCTCTGGAAGATGCAGAGCACGCCGAGGGCAGGTTTGCCATGACCCTGTTTTCCACAGACACTGTGGAAAAAGCACGTGGCTGAGGCCTGCTGCATGCCTGGGCTCTGGCCATTGCGTACGCACCGCAGCCGCTGCTGGACCGTGGGCGCTGGCAGAAATCTAAACCTGGAGCTGACAGCCATGCTGTCTGGGACCTACCCCGCAGCCCAGCAAGGCTGACGGCAGTTGGCATGATGGCAGATGATTGTCCTGGACAGGCCATCTTGCCCTGTGGATTCTCTCCATGTGTGACAACCCCATGGGACCAGTCAGGGTTGCAGGAGTGGAGTCATTGCCATGGAAACCCTCCCCACGCCTCCCTTACCCTCCACACCCTGGAGTCTTCCATGAAGGGGAGATGAGATGGCCTCTTCCCATTGTGTGAACGCAGGAAGGGATGTGGAGAAGGCCAGCTCTGGGTGTCTGGTCCCTCCAGACCTCAGATTTCCGGGATGCAGGGAGGCTGGGCAGATCACAGCAGTCCCCGGGAGTCTGAGGCAGGCCGCCTCCTGTGTGCAGGCAATGCTCACAGGGTCTCATTGGACAGGAAGCGGGACCTGGGCGTCTTCCCTGTGTCATGGGTCAGAGCCTGACACCCCATGAAGTGTGCGTGAGGAGCTGTGTGGGTAGTCTGGGCCTCTGCCCTGCAGCGGGCAGGGGGAGAAGGCAGGGGGAAGGTAGGCAGGTGCGGGGGGAGGGAAAGTCCTGGGCGAAAGCAGGGGACACAGGTTCTGCCAGGCAGAGCCAGCGGCTTGGGGCTCCCGGGCTAGGCCAGTGGCTAGAACTTTTCCTCCCTCACTGGCCTGAGTTCTCCCAGGTGGCAGGCAGCCTGGCACCCCAGCCCCGCGGGGGTATGCACCTCCTACCTCTCCTGGACTGTGTCCCCTCAGCTCTCTGCCCCGCGCCCCATGTCCCCACCAACAACAACCAGGAGCCATCATAGAAGGGCATGCGCAGGACAGGCACTCAGGCAGGACAAGGGTCCTGCGGTTGGAGGCTGTGGGAGCTGCCCACAGCTGACAGTTGGCTGTCAGATACTGTGGGTCTGGCCTGGTCCATGAAGCCGGTCAGACAGGAAGGCAGCTCCCAGGCTCCTGAGGCCTGTATTGCCCGGCGCTGCCTAGTCCCCTGTGCTCCCCGTCAATGACATTCAGATAAGAAGCAGGGTTGCTCACACGGGATCAGAGCTTAGCAAGTGGGGCTGAGCCCCACCCCGCCCCACCCCATGCTTCTGTAATTAAGGTCCTCTGGAACCTTCACTTACAGGTTTTAATCCAGCAGATGCCACCCAGACTCAGAGCCGGCCGAGTGCACGAAGCTCACTCATCCCCGCCCGGCCTTCTACCCGGTTTGCACCCTGCGTGAGGCCATTGCATGGACTCTGGTTTCCCCAGTGTTAGGGGAACGTGAAACCCACAGGACACATGCATATGTGCACGTAATTGTGCATGCATACGTGTATGTGATACCACAGCTTGGAGGCTGAGCTGCTGCCTGTCCTGTGCTGGTGTGTCAGGTGACCATGGGGCTCTCATGGCCTCTGCCTGTCCCTGGTCCATCACTCAGGTTTGCCGAAATCCTTTGGCCGCCAGATGCAGAGCTCTGCAGCTCTGGAGTTTGCAAGTCACCTTTGTGACCATCCAAGCTTCCTCAGTTGGATTTAGGTTTTTCTGAGGTTACATCCTGCCCAGATATCAGCCATGGAATCCTGGGCCTAGCTGCAGGCCTTTGAAAGGAGCGCCGAGTCCTCTGGCCTCCGATGGCTGCTTGGCAGTGTGCTGGGTCCCCTGTGTTCCGTGCCCGGGCCTCATGAAAATTCAGTGTCGGCTGCACAGAAGGATGGGTGGGCAGCAGGCAATGAAACTCTAGCCAGGCTGCCTAGGAAGGGCAGTTCAGGACCTTCTATTTAAACATGGCTTTGGACAGCATTGTGAAGGAATAGGAGTGGCACTGTATCCTGTTTTTCAAAATAAACCTCCTGACTAATTCCATTAAATCAGGCTTCCTAGTGACTGGGGTGTAAGTCTAGAGGTAAACCCTGCTGCTGTGTTTACTCATTACGCTGGGAGAGGAGACAGGCAGATGAAGCATCTGGTTGGAAGAATAATCCAGCTATCGCCTTTCCTTCCCGTGCATCTTCTAATGATTGCGTCTGAGGGCTGGTGTTGTCTGAGCATGGGGCCTCTTTGTGAGGACCCAAGAGAGGATGCAGGCCTCACTTCAGGAGGCTGAGTCCTGGGGGGTTGGGGGAAGAGACAGATATGGAGTCATGGTGCTGCCTGCAGACAGCCCAGCCTGGCAGGCAGGCACAGCTCAACCTCCGGTTGAGGGCTGTGAGCCCGGCCTGCAAAGCAAGAGGGCATCTAGAAAGCCACGGGCACGATCAGCCCGTGTGAGGGCAGCTTCCTGAGGGTGCCAGGGAGGAAGCTGGGGGGGGGGCAGGGAACACCAAGGAAGAAAGCGGGCTGATTTTGTGTGAGGGCACTTCTGGCCTCCTCACCGCTGGGCGGGTTAGGCAGTGTCTTGCTGGGGCCGGCCCCGTGTCCTGCTGCGTCTGATGTGCCTGTGCTCTCTCTCCTTCTGCCAGAGGTGCTCTTCGACCCCTGCCGGACATGGTGTCCAGTGTCCTCCTGCCAGGCGGTGTGCCAGCTGCAGGACCCGGGGCTCCAGACCCCACAGCGGGTGCAGTGCAAAGCCTGCAGCACCGAGTTCTGCTCCCTCTGCAAAGCCAGCTGGCACCCTGGCCAAGGCTGCTCGGAGTCCATGCCGATCACCTTCCTTCCTGGGGAGACCAGGTACCCTCCATGAGCGCGGCTGCCTCAGGTGGGGGCGGGGCGGGCCTCAGGGAAGGAGGGGTGCTTCCTTCCGGAAGGTGCCCGCAGAGGATGCTGTTGTCCATGCACCAGCCTCTGCATCTGCTCCTCTTCTTGTGTCTCATTCAGACTTACTGTTTCTTATTTGATGGTTAATTTGTGAGGACTCTTTGCTGGAGACTGTGTGAAGCCTGGGAACTGGGAGGTGCACTTTAAACGCTGACTGTAGCGGCAGCCCCTGTCCATTCTCAGGGACAGTCTGTGAGGCCACATTGGCCTGCAGTTTGCTTTTAAATTGAAAAGAATTTAGGGCTGGGCACGTGGCTCATGCCTCTAATCCCAGCTACTCAGGAATCAAAGATCAGGAGCATTGAGTGTGGGGCTGGCACACATGCCTGTAAGGCAAGCTATGGGTAAGTCACAGGTAGGAGGGTCTCAGGCCAACTCCATCCCAGGGGGTGGAAATTAAAGCAGCAAAAGGCTGGAGGTGTGACCACACAGAGGAGCACCAGCCGAAAGCTCAGAGCCAGGCAGAGCCACGGCGAGTGTGTGCCTTGCTGTGTGGGACTTGGGCTCCGAGCAGGAGGAATGCTTTCATCGAACCAGCTGCCCCGATGAGCAAAACTGTCAGCCAGGGAGTCTGTTCTTCCTGGGTGGGGGGAACAAGCTGGATAGAGGGAGGGACGCAGCAGGGGTGGAGGTCGCAGGTCAGCGCTCCAGGTGTGAGGGCCCTCAGGCCAGTGCTCCAGGTGTGAGGGTTCTAGGGTCAGTGCTCCAGGTGTGAGGGCCCTCGGCTCAGTGCTCCAGGTGTGAGGGCCCTCAGGTCAGTGCTCCAGGTGTGAGGGCTCTCAGCTCAGTGCTCCAGGTTGAGGGTTTTAGGATCAGTGCTCCAGGTGTGAGGGCTCTCGGCTCAGTGCTCCAGATGTGAGGGCTCTCAGCTCAGTGCTCCAGGTGTGAGGGTTCTAGGGTCAGTGCTCCAGGTGTGAGGGCTCTCAGCTCAGTGCTCCAGGTATGAAGGCCCTCGGCTCAGTGCTACAGGTGTGAGGGCCCTTGGCTCAATGCTCCAAGTGTGAGGGATAAATGAGTTTGGATGAGCAAAGTGTTCAGAGTTAAATAGTGCCAGATCTCCAGCGCGGTCAGAGGTGGCTTCTGAGGGGGTCGAGCCAGTCTTGTGGTCATCTGACAGACTGGTCAGGAGCGTCCGTGTCACAGGAAGAGCCATTGCACCTGGCAGCTGGTCAGATATTCTGTCTGCTCCTTTCTTCTGTCTGCTTCCAAGATGGCTGCACAGTGACCGCAGGAAAGAGTGGCTCGGGGCAAAGGTCATAGACGGGAAATGGAGGAGTCTACCCGGCCTTTTCCTGCTGCCAGATAGTTGTTAGGCCCAAAAGAAGCCAGGGTTGCTCAGCATCTCTTCCACCTGAGGCTTAACTCTCTTCATGCTCATGGCCACACAAACCCAGACAGCATTCCCCAGAGAACGGCACTGTCAGTTAAAACAGGTGGATTAATATGTGTGTTGGGGTATGTGTTCATAACTTACTTTATTCTGACCCCAGCAAAGTACCTAAAACTTACTACCAACCTTTGAAAAGTACCAGCAGGTATGAATAAGGATATAGTATTTGGCCAGGACACCATGACTGAGATGCCTCTCTTATACGCCTCTTGCTGTATTATTTTATTTTTTCTATACATCCCTGGATTTAGATATGTGCTAATGCTCCTTATCTTTAGTCCACCACACAGATTCATTGCTTTCCTTGGTTTTTGGAGTTTCAGAGTTTTGGTTTCATTTTATTTCCTTTAGTAACAAGAGCCAGAACTGGGCACCAGTGGCCAATGCCTGTAATTCAAGCCAGTCAGGAGACAGAGATCTGTGGATGGGGACTCAAAGCCAGCCCAGGCTACTCTTATCTCCAATTAATCATTAGAAAGCCACATGTGGAGGTATAGCTCAAGTGGTAGAGTGCTAGCCTTGAGGTAAAAAGCTCAGTGGGAGGGTGAGGCTGTGAGTTCAAGTCCCACTACTGGCATGCACATGAGCGCGTGCACACGCGCGTGTACACACACGGGCCCTGTAGTGGAGCAGGGCTCACTGGGTGGTCCGACCTGCTGCCCTCTGGTGCTGCGGGGTGCTGGCAGTCCCTGCACACCGGCCCTCACTGACTGTCACACACAGCTCTGCTTTCAAGATGGAAGAGCCCGATGCGCCCATCAAGCGGTGCCCCAAGTGCAAGGTGTACATCGAGCGGGATGAGGGCTGCGCACAGATGATGTGCAAGAACTGCAAGCACGCCTTCTGCTGGTACTGCCTGGAGTCGCTGGATGTGAGTACCGGGGGCGGGGGGGGGGGGGGGGGGGCGGGGCCTGAGCGTCACCAGAGCGGCCATTTCCTCCAGGGAGGAAGGCAGTTATGTCTGCGATGGAAGAACATGGCAGTAGGGTCTTTCTCTTTTCTTTTCTTTTCTCTTCCCCCCCCCCCCCCACCTCTGTGCCAGTCCTGGGGCTTGAACTCTGGGCCTGGGCGCTGTCCCTCAGCTCTTCAGCTCAAGGCAAGTGCTCTTCCACTTGAGCCATAGTGCCACTTCCGGTTTTCTGGTGGTTTATTGGAGATAAGAGTCTCATGGACTTTCCTGCCCGGGGCTGACTTCAAACGGCAATCCACAGATCTCAGCCTCCTGAGTAGCTAGGATGACAGGCATGAGCCACCGATGTCCGGCAGCAGGGATCTTATTCTGTGCGTGTGCAGAGGTGAATTTGCTGGGTGTGATGGTGTCAGAGGCAGGAGCTCTGTCAGCATTGCGGGCGGTGGAAGCTGGGTGCGGGCTTGGGGTCAGCCGGGCTGAGGAGTTGGGTTTGTTGGGGGGAGGGGTGTCAGGTTCCCTGCTGGGTTGGGACACCACAGCCAGGGCCATGTCCTGGTCTGTCTCAGGGCTCGGGCCAGGAGGTCTGAGAGTGGGCACCTCCACTTCAGGCTCCTTCCAGGCTTCTTGTCACTGAGTTCTTACACGGGGGAGGCAGCAGGCTCTGTCCTTCTCCTAGGAGGAGAGCAGTCATTGCATCATGAGATCCTACCCTCACTATCTACCTAACCTGACACCCCCACAGCGGAAGGGGCTCAGGGCTTCAACCGGTGGGTTTGAGCAGGGACTGTTAGTGGGACAGTGGGGTTCAGGAGAGGCAGGGGCGGAGTGAGCCAGGCTGCACCAGGCGCTTTGCATGTCACACCCACACTCCTGTTCTCCACGGGACAGGGAAAGGCTTGTACGCCATTTTCTGTGTGCAGAATGGAGGGTTCTAGCCCAACGTGGGTTTCTCCCGAAGTTCTTCCATGCTGAGTGTGCAGCCCCTCCCTGCCTGTGTGGCAGGCACCGAGTGCAGGCTTTGGACAGAAGAACTTACAGTGTAAAACATGACTTTGTTCCGACCCTTCTTCCCAGGAGCCAGCCCCCTCCAAGTCCCCCCTGCCCTGGAGTTTCAGGCCTGCTGTCCTAGGTGCTTCTATTAGCTTCCCGTTCTCCTCCCTTGCTCACATTGGAAGGGGGAATCTTGCCAAAATGGTGACAGCTTAGCTTCAGGTTTAAGAAGAGTTCATTTGTACATACTTTTCAAGACTATAAGTAAATATAATAATAATATAAAATAGAATATAATATAGCTCTAACTATGTACTGAGCATTGCAGTTGGCAAAAGTCCCAGTAAATCAAGTTCTGGGTCACAACAAAAACGAAAAGATATCTTTGTTCTGTTCTGGGCAGCAAAGGTGAATGCATCCGATTCTTCAATATTAGTATAAAGCCCTGGGATTTAATCTAAAGGAGGTGAGTTCAAGCTCCTTAGCCTCATTGTTGGGAGTTCACCTGTGTGACGGAAGCGTTTGCCTGTTTGTTCTTACCTTGGCCATCTAATGCCATGTGGGTGAGGGTCTGTGTGAGGCCAGTGGTTGACCTCAGCATCTGATGGATCTTAGCAGCCAGTTCAGCCTGCCAAGGTGACAGAAAAGTGGCCTTAAAACCCTGAAGCCCGGACGAACTTGGAAAGTTTGCCTGGCTTCTCTGAACAGGCCAGTAGATTGTTAAGAAGCAAAGGAGTGTCTACTTGAGAGAGCATATTAAATGAGGTAACAGATGCGGAGGGTAGCGTCTCCTGGCATTGTCCCTTTGCAGAGCCTGTTGTTTTTTACCAGCTTTGGATGGTGTGATTTACTGTTCAGTCTGATGGGGCTGAATAAATCTGGAAAACTATCACCATTCTTCTATTTCAGAGGCTTCATTTGCACTTTGGGGTCAAGCCTAATGATTCAGCTACATGATTTGTTTTCGTTAACTGAAGTTGGAACTTCTGTTCTTTGGTTTTGTGCTGCAACTGAGGTCATGTTTAGAAGATCAACTAAAGCAGGACAGCATCATTTCCACCCTTCAAAATCTTTTATATATTTCTCTATTTTCTGGGCATTTTGAAAACTGATCACTGAGTTATGAGTTAATGGCTTATGCCTGGCCTGCACTTAGGAAGGAGATTAGCCCCTGGGACTCAGGAGCAGAAGCAGGAATAGATGGAGATAAAGGTTGCTTTCTGAAGTAGCTGTGGTTTCTGCCGCTTGCTCCTTTGCTGCCTGAGCCAGTGGACAGGGGAGAAGAAGAAGGAAGCCCACACCTTTCCTTTCCACACAGCAGTGGGCATCTGTGTCTCCTGCAGTGGCCCTCACTGCCTGTCCTGGCCCCACAGCCCAGTTCCTGCTTCCCTTACTGCTCTGTCTGACCCACACCACAGCAGCACAGCCTCCTCACTGCCAGGAGCTTCCTGTTGTCCTGTGAAGATGAAGGGCTGCTGAAAAGTGACCCTGTTGCTGTGGGGGGCGGATCCCCACAGCAGGAGTCCACTGTGTGAGCTGTGAGCCAAGGACCTAAGCAGCATTCTAGGAGAGATCCTAATTGCACAGTGAGATGCAGCCGTGAGCCCTGGGCAGCTGAGCCCAAAGGGCTTACTACGTGGCTTCCTCTTCTCTCAGGACATAGTTACCTGGGTTTTTCTTGGTGCACACACAGGGCTGCAGGACCATCGATGGCTCCAGACAGCGTCTGGCCATGCCTGCCTCCCCAGGAAGCCTTGCTGCTTCTCAGCTGTCCACATGGCTCCAGCACAGCACGAGCTACTTGTAGCAGCAGGGTAGTTCCTTCCACCCAGCAGAAAGTAGTTAGTATTTATTGAGGTCATCATCTCATGCAGCACTTCTGTGATTTGGAATGATCATTTCCTTTTCTAGAGAGGAAGTCACTGTCTCTTTGAAACCCATGACAGGAAGGGGCCCACTATCCAGCCTTGCAGACTCTAAAATCCAAGCTCAGTGCTTAGACTAGGGTTGCTTTGAGCCAGAGTTTAACAGCCAAGTTTAAACCTTAGTGTGCTGGCACTCCTCTGAGTCCTCCTTTTTAATCTTTATGCATTTCTGTGATGGCTGCTGTCTAGAGCATGCTCCATTTTGTCTATCCTCACAGAAACATCCAGTAGTTCCAAAACATGGAGACTAGCCATTGGAAACTGTGTCTAGCTAAGGAAGGTCCCCCCCCTCCAAGGACATAAGCCTAGACCCTCTGAACCTCATAGTTTCCACATCTTCCTTCATCTCAGGAAGAATGGAAGAACTTGGAAAGTTTGCCTGTCCTTCTCTGAACAGGCTAGTAGATTGTTAGGAAGCAAAGGAGTGTCTACTTGAGACATTCTGGGTGGGATCTAAGGCCATGGAACCCTGCTTGTAGAACCTACATTCCAGTGAGGATTTCTAGCAGGTGGATCCAAGAACCCAAGACCCGGCTCTTAAAAACCTCCTGATTTCTCTAGTTTCTGCCTCCTGCCAACAGAAAGGAGATTGGTAGCAGGGTCTGAAAGCATGAAGGTCAGAAGCTGAGAGGCCTTAATTCTTCATCTGCCAGTGCAGAATGCAGTACTCTGTACCCCCCCGCCCCCCCCAGCACAACACTTTGTGGCATATTTGGGGAACACTCTTAAGCCTGGGTATTTGTTGATTTAGAAAAACAAGCTAGTAATGAGTGGAAGGGGGCCCTTTTGGAGCAAATAGAAAACTGTCTGGCCCATAGGCTGTGAAAGTATCTGCAGCTACCTAAAGCTTCTGTAGTGAAAGCGCTCCCAAGGAGATAGATGGCAGACACTTCCATAAACGATTGCAGTTTGCTTCGCATTCATTATCTGAGCAATTCCTGGAACTGGGACCAGTGCCTGAGCATGAATGAACGCTTGGCTACTGAGCCATACCCCCAGCCAGTGGTGAGCAATAGCAGTTCAGCCCACCACACATTGTCCTGCCTGAATGCTGAGACAACTCCCCAGCCAATGATTTGGCATCAAACCAAAGAAATAGATGTGAAAAAACAAGACGGCATGACTCCTGTAAAACTCAACAACTATTCCCCCGACGACTGTACACCAGAGGACACAGTAATAACTTCGTAACTTTAGATAGCTTTTGTAATTTTTTTTTTTTTTTTTGTCAGCCGTGGGGCTTGAACTCCGGGCCTGGGCGCTGTCCCTCAGCTCTTCAGCTCAAGGCGAGCGCTCTACCATTTGAGCTACAGCGCCACTTCCAGCTTTTGTAATTTTAAGAATGATTGGTTAAAGAGGACATGAATCTGAAGAGGATTGGATGAAATGAAGACAATGTGAGACATAAAAGAATTAAATACGCAGAAATTCTGAAGAGTCAATTAAAAATTTGAAACTAAAAACCTCAATAAATCAAATAAAAACTCAGATGAAAATCTCCCCAGGGCTTGAAGAAAAGGCACAGATGTACTAAAATATGCAGGTGACTCCAAGAGTTAAAAAGAACCGTGAGTGAATGTGTAGGACATGGGTGAAAGACTAAACCCATGGATGATGGGCATAGAAGAAGTACCAGCAAAGGCATGAAAATGCACAGTGAATGAACAGCAGCAAATAGCTAAACTCTTGAGAAACAGATGGTCATCCTGCCGCAGTGGCTCCTGGGACTCTAAAGTGAAAAGGCAAGAAAAGAACTTCTTGAAGGCATTTTATACAATGCCAGGCATGCAAAACAAGCAGAGCTTAATTAGAGCTGCAGAACACAAGTACCAAGTCACCTCTCAGAATAATAGCAGATTCCTCAACACACGTATCACAAGCAAGGTACACATGGAATGATCTTTACAAGCCTTGAAAGAAAATACTGTCAACCCAGATAACTATACTGAGCAGTATGGTCCTTATAAACAAAGAAGCAATGGAACCTTTTTGTATAAATTGCAGCTAAACGAAGTCATGGTCACTTGGCTGGCTTAAAGAAATCAAACTTGCAGAGGAGTAATGTAAACAACGATGGAAATACAAGAAAGAATCACCTGTAGATGAGTAGATGAGCAAATGGAAAGTAGGGAATGATCAAACAGAAATTATTACATACCTTTCAGGCATAACTTTGAATGTCTTAGTTCTGTAAACAAAATATACAAAGTGGCAGATTTGGTTAAAAAGCAATCATTTGTTGCCTGTAAGAAATACGCTATACAAGTAAAGACGGAATTAAAGCCAAAGTATGGGTAGAGATGTTCCAAGTATGTACAGACTAGATATAAGCAGGAGTGGCTGTCTTCATTTCTGAGAAAGTACAATGGAAGCCAAAACTAGAAGAGGCAAAGAATTTTACTTGATATTGATGAAGGAATGATTCAACATGAAGAGATATATTGTAAACACGTATGCACCAGACACCAAATAAAATGAACACCATAGACAGAAAAGCACAAGTGGACCCTAACCCAATAAAGTACAGAGACTCAAATGAAAATGCAAACCCGGCCTTCCAGGACCTTTGAGAAAGCAGAAGCAGTGGCTCAGCACAAAGTTTATAGCTGTGTATGCCTAGCGAAGGCAGAGCCCTGAATCCAAGCCCCAGAACCATGGAGGGAAGAGGCTAAGCATTAGTAATAGAGAAGATGAATTTAATCAAAGTGTGTTGTATGCAGGGAAGGAAATATCACAATAAAACATAATTAATGTATGATAGAAGAACAAAAATAATATGCATGGAAACAAAAGCATTTTGTGAGTCTTGTGAGTCACAAATATCTACCCTTCTTAAAAGCATTGAGTATTTTATTTGTATGAATTATATAGTTATTACCTAAGAGTTATATACCATGTTACATAAATCATTTTCTTTTTTCTTTTTCTTTTTGTCGGTCATGGGGCTTAACTCTGGACCTGGGCACTGTCCCTGAGCTCTTCAGCTCAAGGCGAGCGCTCTACCACTTGAGGTCACAGCGCCACTTCTGGTTTTCTAGTGGTTCATTGAAGATAAGGGTCTCACAGACTTTCCTGCCTGGGCTGGCTTTGAACCATGATCCTTAGATCTTAGCCTCTTGAGTAGCTAGGATGACAGGCATGAGCCACTGGTGCCTGGCAACATAAATCATTTTAGTATACTGTTACTGGAGGGTGGTGGTATTTGTTAGGTGTGCCAGTAATAAGAGAAATAACAGGTTTGTGGACGTAAAAGTAACGTGGTAATATGCTCCACAGCATGGTAGCCGCCCGGAGCTGGGGAGCTCTGAGGCTCTGAGGACTGATGTGGGGACTATGATGTGGGGAGACTAGGGCAGGGTTGCAGGGTTTCTCTCTTGGGTGGGGGGGAGGGGAGAGGAAGCAAGGGGGGTGTGATTCACGACGGAAAATTTTGAATGGCAAGTGGTGGTTATATGACAGTTTTTCAACTGCACATTCCCAGAATGCATTGTTATGGTGATATTAATGATAAGCAGCACACGAGGCCTTAATTAGGGGTCTCCCCAAGTATTCCCTTAAAGATAAGCTAAACGCATACTGCACATGTTCCATGAGGGGAATTTCATTTTGCTTGGCAAGCATCTGCCTTGTCATCGGGCTGTGACACCCATTTGTCTGGCTGCAGGGCATTATTCCTGCTTTTTGATCTGATGGTCGTGGGGTGTGGGATTAGGAGTCTTGGGGTGTTTCTCAGGCAGGGTGGATCTTATACGTGGTTATACCAGCCACAGATTGTCTTATCTGCTGCCTCAACAATTTTGTTTTTCCCAGAAAAATTACTTTATCATGGATGTGAGGCCCGCGGTAGCTGAGAACAAGCAGCGGGCCCTGGGTGGAGCTGCTGTGCCCCTGGCAGTGTGGGCTGAGTGAGGGCTCATTCACCAGGCGGGCTCATTCACCAGGCACCAGTAACCAGGGGCACCCAGCCTTTAGGAGAAGGCCAGGCCTGGTCTAGGCTACTACAGGACTCTTGCCTTTTTGATCTGAAGACCAGAAGACACCACCTGTTCCCTGTCTCTGCCTGATGTCAGCAAAGCGCCTTGGAGTTCTCTGATCACCTGGGGCTCCTGCTTATTTGCAGTCAGTGAAATGAGTAAACATGTCTGTCCTGACGGGTGCTTGGTCTGGGTAGGTTGGGCCGGGCCCAGGTGCAGGTGCCGCTGAGTGTTCTCTGCATTCTGGAATGCCCGTGGGGATTCTGCCTCGGGCAGTGACAGGGCAGGTCGGATCTGCCACGTGGAGCCGGGCAGCTGAGGGTCCGGTGATGGGAAGCAGGTGAGCTGAGTGCGGGTGAGCTGCATGCCCGCGTGTGGAGGAAGGCACGAACTAGACGCTCTATGAGACAGGAGGGGATCGTGCGCGCTCTGAACAGAAATCGTGGGAGGAGGTGCTTGGAACAGCACTGGGCACGTGTGCTGAGGGGCAGCACTTCCCAGGTGGGGTGCTGGAAGGAGGTGCAGAAACCCATCACGTGGGATCCAACAGGCAGGCCCCCGTGCCTGCCTGAGCCTTGTGTATTCAACATTCTCTCTCTCTCTCTCTCTCTCTCTCTCTCTCTCTCTCTCTCCCTCTCTCTCTCTCTCTCTCTCTCTCTCTCTCTCTCAGCTAGTTCAATGTTTTGAACAATTTATTGACACATTATCTTTCTTATTTATGGTGTGTGATAATTTGATGCATCTTTTACAAGGGGACCTCAGAGAGATCAGTATTTCTATGTAAAGAAACCATCATTTCTTGGTGTTTCCAGCAACATCCTCTTTTCTACACCCTGGAAATGCTTCCATTTCCCAGCCCCTTCTTTGGGCCGCACAGTGAGAGCTGGCCAGCTCCCTCTGGTGGCCGGGAGTGGCGTGTGGGCCTCCCCGGCTGCGACCACCTATCCCACACATAGAGAATGCTCAGTGCGGTGATCCACGCTGACCCCCACTCACCCCTGCCTTGTCTGTGCTTCGCAGGACGACTTCCTCCTGATCCATTATGATAAGGGGCCCTGCCGGAACAAGCTGGGCCACTCCCGCGCATCCGTGATCTGGCATCGGACGCAGGTAAGAGGTGGCTCACCCATGACTTCACTCTCCCGGGGAGAGAGGAAGTGTGTGTGCATACGTGTGCATGCATGTGTATGTGTGTTTCTAGATTTGCCAGCTGGTTGAGGGTCTGCTATACAGAAAGAAATCTGGAAAGAGCCCCTCACTGGGCTGAACTTACACCTAGACCAGGGTTCGAGGCAATCTCTGCCCAATTCGCACTCGGAGTGTCTCTGACATCAGACTTTTATGACCTTGGCTGTGATCTGTCTGTCTGCTGACCATGGTTTATTAATCCTGGTGCTCCCTGTAGCAAAGAACCTTGTAGCAGGGGCTGAGGTCAGCAAGTTGGTAAAAGGAAGAGAGAGTGAGGAATGCAGTTACTTCGGACTCGGTGATGTCTGCAGCTTGGGGAGGTGATAAAGGCCCTTGTGCAAAGTGATGCTTAGACTTTGAATAAAGATCTTCTTTCTCTTCCTCCTCCTCAGGCAGGCCTGAGGCTTGCACTTAGGGCCTGGATGTGGTCCCTTAGCTCGTTCAAACTCAAAGCTGGTGTTCTACCACTTGAGCCACAGCTTTTGGTGCTTAATTTGAGATAAGCATGTCACAGACGTTTCTGGGTGAGCTGACTCCAAACTGTCATCCTCAGATCTCAGCCTCCCAAGTAGCTAGGATGACAGGCGTGTGCCACCGGAGCCCGGCGCCTTGCTGAGCTGCACATCTGTGCCTGCAGCAGGTGCACTGCCTGACTTGCGAGGGGCACTTGGGAAGCACCCAGGGTCCCACCGACACTGTGGCCTCTCTGCAGCAGTCAGCTCCACCGGAGGCCCAAAGGCACCTCCGTCTCTACAGAGCAGCTAGTGCCAGCCTGGTGGTCTCTCTGAAGAACTCTCTTGGAGTGGCCTGCCATCCTCCTTTTCCACCCCGGATCTGATTCTAGCTGCTTCTCTTCTCTCCCGCCTACATCTCCTCCATCGTCTTTAAGGTCTGCTCCCACCCCACTTCCTGCAGCTAGACCACGGCAGGTCATAAGCTTTTGAATTGTATTTGAGGGTTATGTACCTTGTAACCCTTATGGATGCCATGCTCAACTCTCTCGCCCCCCTACTCGGTTCTGTTTCCCAAGTCCCAATCCTGACCACAGCGGGTCAAGTGCACAGCCCCTGGCAGAGAGGCCCATGCCTAGGATTCACCAGTTTCCTGTGCACCAAGGAGGACCCTTCTCTACCATGCAGGCCCGTGCCCTGCTGGCAGTGCCCGAGAGTCTCAAAACTACACCCGAACCTCCCTTTGCTGTTCCCCTAATTTTGGAGGTGACGCCCTCACAGGATAATCTGTCATTCTTGTGGGGTTTGTCTCGGTGACTCTTCCCACCTTTGCACCACGTGAAAGTGATTAAAAATTTCCCAAGAGATTTGCATCTTCTGTGCCTCTAGAGACTACTGCAGCTCACTTTTACTCTATGTATGGAGTTATCATGTTTTATACCAAACGTATTTTGCTCAGTACCCTTCTGAACAAGGAGACCGAGTGCCATAAACAACAACAAACAAACAAAAAATGACATCTTTGTCCCCTCAAGGTTTTGCATGATTTATTTAGTTCCCCGTGGTAGAGTTTGTACTTGATATCCTGTGCTTCCTGTGGAAAGAAACAGGAAAGAGATCTCAGTGGGGCTGGGCTGGCTCTGTGGCACATCGCCGGAGAGCTGGCTCCTGTGTCACTAGCTGCTGAGTTCCCTGCTGGAGCCATCCACTGGATAGTGGGAGAGGAGGAAGGGGGTACTGGAGACCCATAAGCATACTAGGGTCAAGAGGAACAAGACAGAACCCCAAAGCTCTTGAGCTTTCTCCAATACATGTTTCTCTATACATGTTTAGCTTGGGGCGGTTTCCATTCACAGAACAAAGGGCAAATACCAGAAGATAGATAATGGCTATCAGGATGTGGCAGAGATCAGGCAAAGTGAAGGGCAGGCTCTCTGCTGGTCTTGGGACAAGTTCGCTGTGTGATGTATCAGGCTTTCTCCACTCGTATTCTCCTGTTACACTTCTCATACCAGCTATAGCTCCCACAACCTCTAGGGTTCCACGGTGCCCATGTGTGGGCCTCTGTCTGTCATGCTCGTGGCTGATCATCCACCTCCTGCACCTTTACCCTGGACCCCACCACTGCTGAGCTGTGGAGGGTGTGTTGGCATTATCCAAGCACCATCCCAGAATCAAGCCAACACGTAGAAGAGCTGGCAGGTTGATGATGTTCTCTTCTAGGATGCTGGCACCTGCCAGAGGAAAGCCTTATCCAATGCTGGCTCTTCTGAGCAATAAGGAAAAGATGTTTCACCCAGGTCCAGCGTAGCTAGTGGGCAGCTCGTTTCAGCCAGAGGCTGACCCTTGGGAAGGACAGACAGACAGTTTCTGACTGTTATTCACAATACCTGTGTGCAGGTCTGGAAAGGGCATCTCCTGGGGTCCAGCTGAAGGGTACCACAGACGTAAGGAGAATGACAGCATCTGAGCCCCATGCCCAGTGCATGCATGTACTTCATCTCTGTCACCACTGGGTGGTGGTCTAACTCCATGAGCTGGGAGGAACACAGATGATGGACAGGCTACTCAAAAGCAAACTGAGCGTCCTTGGAACAACTGTACTGCCTGATTTAGACAACAGCATGTCTACATTAGAAGCTTATTCCTTCCAGCATTTGCACACAGCTAGGGATAAATATGTTTTAAAACAAAAATTAAACTGTGTAACACTCATCATTATGCTTCAAACCCTAGAAAAGTCCAGGGCTGGGTCATTACTTCAGCCTCCATCCCCTGGGAGCTCAACTTCTCTTAACAAATGGAAGCATCCATCGCTTATTCACAACCTGAAGGCAATTTCCTAAGATACATTGTCATCCACTGATGAAATCTTGGTCTCTCTACCAGACAAGGCCGTCTTTGAGGGCAAAAGCATCCAGTGCCCTTGTATACAAGTACTTTGTGTATATGGTGCTTAGGTTATTGTCTAGATAAGAGTGAGATCTTGGGGCTCTCTTTGGTTAATTAGAGGCATGGATGAAGAGGAGAGAAAGTAAGGGAGGAGAAGGGGATCCAGGAAGGAGGAAAAAAGGGAAGGGAAGGAAATGGGTGGGTGCCTCCAGGCTGGTGGGAAGGCGGGTGGATGATTGATAGAGAAATAGATGGCTGGGTAAATAGATGATGGATGGATATCTGGATGTGTGGATGGATGGAGGGGATGGTGGATGAATGCATAGATAGATGGTTGGTTGGATAGGTGGGTAGATGGCTGGATGGGTGTTTCAATGGATGGAGAGAAGAGGATGGAGGAATGGGCAGATGCATGGTGGCTGAATAGATAGATGGGTAGGTAGGTGGCTGTGTGGTTTCTACTTCAGCCATGGAACCTACACACCAGCCCTTCTTACCTCTTTCCTGTTTGGTTTTCTTCTTCCAGGTCGTGGGGATTTTTGCTGGATTTGGGCTTCTACTCTTGGTGGCCTCTCCCTTCCTGCTCCTGGCCACTCCCTTCGTACTCTGCTGCAAATGCAAGTGCGGCAAAGGTGATGACGACCCCTTACCCACCTAGACGACGGCCGGGTGCCGGGAGAGACCCCTGCCTCGAGAAGCACGGCTCCCCAGCCCACCACTCTCCTCTCACTAAACGTGTATCTTGCCTTATGTGCCCCATGGAGCTTCACAGTGTCAGGCTGGATGCCACGATGTCAGGGACATCAGCACGCTCGCTGAGGCTGCAGGCGCGGTCACCTGGGCGTGGGCACAGCGAGGCCCAGTAGCGTGTCCCACAGATCCAGTCTCTGCAGACCAGGCCGATGGCCTGGTAGGCAGTTTCCCAGGCAGTTTCCTACCACGGCTGGAGACTGGGAATTGTCTGGTATAGGTTAAGAGTTCTGATTAGACAAGGTTTGTCCATTTCCTCCTCTGCTTCAAGATGGCGTCCTGTTGGTGAAGGACGAAGTCTTAAGGATTCCAGCTCTCTTCAGACAGAAGCCAGTGATTCCCACTTGAGACAAGCACTCTGTTTAGGACAACTTTTTTTGTTTTTATTACTCAAGGCATTTAGTAAAATCCTTTTTAGGAGGCTTTTTTTCTTCCAACTGAGTAGTGAAAAATCAACAAGGTGCATATATGCCATCCTATGCCTTTCTGGAAATGTGCATTTTAAGAAGTTAGAGTTAAATGACTTTCCTGGCTTTGACCCATTTTCAGGAGATTTAGAAAGCCTTATGCACTCTGTGTTTTTCCTGAAACTTGCTGTAATACCTTTTGAATGCTATAAGCTGCGTATTCTTATAAACATGGGTCATATACACTACATCACTTTGAAAACATTGACACGTTTAGAGGAACGTCATTCCCACTTAGGTTTGCCTTTTGTTCTTTGGTGATTCAGCCAGCTCACAGGGCGGGCGCCTCCCTGCTCATCAACAGCATACCTTCGCATATCTTCGAACCAAATATCTTCTTTGGAAGTAGTTCCACTCAGAATCACTGTAGTTTGGCCTCTTGCTTTTGTTTTCAAGTGCACAGTTCGAAGTGTGCATCATTTACACTTGTAAGTCAGGGTTTCTGCTAACAGCTGAGGGGCTCTTAAGAGGCCAGCTGGAGTTTTCTGGATTTTCACATTTTTTCCTTGGAAAAATTTTGTGTCTCATGGAGTTCGAGCCCAGCCTTGTTGCTAACCGGCCGACCATGGCTGCTGGGAAATCACCCGCCATTTTGCTTAGCTCTTTCTACGTGGGATGGGACCACGTGGCTTTTCCCAGGGCTGTGTGGGACTGTTTCCACAGCAACACAAAGCCCGGATGGATATGAAGCTGCACTGTTCTCTGTCCTTAGAATCTGACAAGTGGACAACATGCTTCCTTTAAGGAGAATTGACTCCCAAAGCCAAGCGTGCTTACCAGCAACAAAGGCACGTGCTGTGGAGTACCCATGGAGGGATTCCCGGAGGCAGATTAAGGAATCTACAAAGAAGTAAAACAAAACAAAATCCTTTCTAATCTGTTATTTTTTTTTTCATTGCAAGCTCATTTTTAAAATACGGTTTTCTGTGTCTGCGTGTGTGAGTCCACGGTGTGTGATCAGTCTCAGGTCCTGGTGCCCCTCCCTGTCCCGAAAGGTCATCTTCATTTCTTGACAGTGAATAGTTGAGGAAAAACACAACCATTTGTTCTTTTCATGGCTGAAACCCATTTTCTCACGAGACTAAAGCCATTTAGAAGATCCGTCCTGTGTCAAAACTTTGGCCCAAACATTCTCTGTGTAGTTACAGCTTCAAAGTTCAAAGTCCAAGACTTGGATAAGAAGCTGGGTGCTGATGGCTCTCACCTGCAGTCCTACATACTCAGGAGGCTGAGATCTCAGGATCGAGGTTTGAAGCCCGGACAGAAAAGTCCATGAGACTCTATCTCCAGTTAACCAGCAAAAAAGCCAGACGTGAAGATGTGAATCAAGTTTTCCATCTTGAGTGAAATGGTCTAGGTAGAGGGAAAGACCCTGAGTTCAAGCCCCAGTACCTGGACAAACAAACAAATTGGATAAGAACATGCCTGAGTGCGTCTTCACAGGTGACCCTCAGGCCCCAAGTCTCTGGTTAGAGACACTGTGAAGAACTGAGTTGGTTTTTCTGGGATGGGCTGACCACTCTAGCCCGAGGCAAGAGGCCGGGGCTTGAGAGCTCCATCTGTAATTTGGGAGTATGGCTGCCTGGCTGTGGGTGTGTGGTCAGCCTGTGGTCCTTTGTCCGGTGTGCCCGGGGCCTGTCTTCACACTGCTCCAGCCTTCCCACCCAGGGTAGTAACTGCCCACTGTACCTGTGCGAGTCCCTCCCACTGCAGACCGTCCTGTGGGGGCGGTGGGAGCCGGAGCCTTTGAGAAGGCTGGATGCCCAGGATTTGGCTCTCTTCCTCATCCACAAAGGAGCGGAATGTCTCTCACCGAATTGTGTTCATCAGCAGCCCCAACCATGCTGTGCCTTTATTTCCGGTGTGTCTTCCAAGCACATGCTTGATCCAGGTAGGGTCAGGGTGATTCCGGGGTCAGCCAGGGACTGTCTGATTTGCTCCTACCTGCTCTGAGCTTTTGCTTCTAGCACATTTAGGTTTGAGTCGATCATGAGCCACCAGCAAGGCACACTGAGGCTATAAACCCCCATTTACTCTGGGGGCCTCCCTCTCTTTCAGTAAGTGCTGCCAATGTCCAGGAGCGTGCTGCTTGCAAACAGCAGTGGGTCTTGTCAATTCCCAGGGCAACATGGAGAGGTGTGAGCTCAGCAGATTTAGCAGACTCAGATAGACACGCAGCATGGCTTATCCAAGCCAAGCATGAAGTTTGTGAAGGCTGATCTCCTACAGAGCATGTCCACTCCACCCAGCGAGGCCCTGTGCTGTTCATTCACCACAGTGAAGGTGGTAGGGTAGAGGGAAAGGCCCTCAGCGGCAGGCCCAGGGCCACTGCAGGCTGCCCTGCGGGGACACCTGACTGACCTGGAAGGGTACCTGAGATACCTTAGCAGCTGACCACATTGGTGGGTTTCTCTGGCTGTGTCTGATCTCTGCTGTGCATCCTGTAGTCCATCTAGCTGGGCTTTGCCTCCTCCCAGGCGTCCCTGTGGGAGTTCCTAGAGTGGAGGCTGATTTAGCACCCAAGCAAGAGCAAAATCTTGAGCCTTATCAGCTTCTGTCCACAGCACCTCCTCCTCCTCAGCTCCCAGGAGCTCAGACGAAAGAACCCACAGCTGACAGCTGCAGCATCGGATTTTCACAGCATGTTCCATATTTCAAAAAACCGCTGCGGGGCCCCAGCCAGGACTTGGTAGGACACAGGACCTGGAGACTCGGGATCAGGCTGTCAGATACCAAAACCACAGAACTTCACGACGTGTTTATCCCTGGATGTTACCAACATCATTTCGCCAATTGGAAGAGAATTTTTTTCCCTTGGTAATGTTTAAAATTCACAAGATTGGAAAGGACTGGGGTGGGCTTTCTGTAAATTTCCCAGATTCCCGTTATAAGTCAAGACACCTGTGTATATATGTAAATCACAATGAAATCATCAAGGGAGAACATTTTGCATGTAAAAAGCTTCATGAAGGCCTCTTTAAAAAAAAATACCAAAGCTTGTTTATTCCATATAATTAGCCTAAGCCCTTAGGAAGCTAAACAAAACAGATTGATGACTGGTTATTGCCAAAACCCCCCAAAAGGAGCAAAGGAACCTCTTACTTGCATTAAGATATAATTACCAGTGCACCTCCAGTTGGAGCGCATGCTGTTTTGGTCCTCAGCCCCCATCTGACATGTGAAATCCCGTCTTCCGCCATTCCATGACCCTCGGCCAGGGGTCGCCATGTGCCACATGCCTGACTTCTGTGCTTTCCTCACTTCGGCCTGGGTGTATCTGAGTCTTGTAAAATAATATGCATGAAGGACTCACGCATCTGCAGACATCATGTATATTTGACAAGTGGTGGTAGAACAAAAGCAAAACAAATTGGGTGTGTGTTTTTGTGCGGTGTCGGTCCGTGTTGTGCCACTAACACTGTGATGTATAAAGAGATGTTTGAATGCCTTTTCTTGTTGTGTTTTGTAACTTTGGAATCATATGGAATAGTCTGACTTTGTAATTTCAATACATATTTTCAGTGTATGGAGTCTTATGTCCTTTCTCTCCCCTTTTGAAGGGATTTCTTTTTTAAAGATATTTTGGCTGGAATACAGGTGACTTTTGTAAATCCTGCTTGGCTCTGTCTTTTGTAGATGATGCTCATTTGTCTGCTAGCCTGAACACCAGAAAGAGGACGGGCCACAGAGGGGAAAAGGAGGAAGGATTGCGGGGGAGGGGGGGTTTGCCCCTGGGAACCCAGATTCTGTGTTCTGAGACTTTACTAAAAGTGGTAGATGCCAGAATCATCGAGCTCACTCAGGGACTCAGTGTGTCTAACTGTGCACCATGCCCTGGTGCCTTGTGGTACCATTTAGTGCTGCAGTTTTGGCAAATGCGCTTCATGAGAATTCTCCCTCTCTGCACTTCAACAGACTCCTGACATACCTGTCCTGTTTTACAGAGAGCATCATGGTGTCAGCGATGATGCATAATTGACCTGGCTACTTCTGATATAATAAAGTCAGTGGTCTGTTCCATGTGCACAGGGCTTTGAGAAACCATGTGTACAGGGCCCCACTGAGAGACCAGAATTTTCATATGCTCAAATCCCTTGTATAAAGTACTGTCATATATTCTGTGCTTTATTTTGTTGGATTGTGTGCTGGTTTGGGGGATTGCACTCTTGCTTAGCTTTTTCTGCTCAAACTGGTGCTCTACTTGAGCCACTTGAGCCACACTTCCACTTTTTGCTGGTTAATTGGAGATGAGGGTCTTATCCTCATCTTTACCACAATCCTCAGAATCTCAGCCTCCCAAGTAGTTAGCATTTACAGGCATAAGCTACCAGCACCCAGCCCTGCTACATGCTTTAAATCATCTGCAGGTCACTCATGAACCTACCGTAATGTCAGTGCTATGTTGTGACACTTTTGTTTAGGGACTAACTGAAGGGAGACAAATGCAACGTTAATTTTTTTCTTGAGTGTTTTATTTTTTTATTTGTTTTTTTGCAACGTTAATTTTTTTCTTGAGTGTTTTATTTTTTTATTTGTTTTTTTTGGGGGGGTCCAGTCGTGGGGCCTGAACTCTGGGCCTGGGCACTTTCCTTCAGCTCTTCAGCTCAAGGCTAGCACTCTACCACTTGAGCCACAGTGCCACTTCCGGCTTTTTTTCTTTTTGCTTATGTGGTGCTGAGGAATGGAACCCAGGGCCTCACGCATGCAAGGCAAGCGCTCTACCACTGAGCCACCTTCCCAGCCCTCTTGAGTGTTTTAATCTGCAGTTGGTAGACTCCATGGACTCAGTACCTGCAGATGCTGAGGGCCAGCTGTAATAGTAAAGCAAAGGCTGGACTGTGTCACCTCTGTTCACATCAGCCTCATCTTAAACTCTGCTGGAGAATACACACCACATTCACCAGCATGAAACTAAGAGCTAGGCATAGGCAATTAGTTCCTTGTCCTGGATGTATCTCTGGGGTATCCTGCTGGGTAGCCTAAGGCACAAGGAGAAACACTGAGGGAGAAGTATTTTTTTTTTTAGGTGGTGATTCATGCGGGCACTGGAGAATCGGTGTGCCTGCTTTCAAGCTCTTGGTCTGAAGGAGGGACAAAGAAGACAGTCATTTGTGATGAGCAGCGGCAAGTGCTGTTCTGGATACATGTGCGGCATCTTTGGAGTGGCACTCTGGGTCTTGGGCTGGATTGCAAAGTCAGTGAGGGTCCAGACACACTGGGCTAGCGCTGGGGCTTTCAGACAGGTAGATCTTAGCCAAGAACACAAACTGTGAGGCTGTGGCTGCAGCCAACAAGTGAGCACAAAGTCATTTGATATGCAGGTTGGGGTGGAGTTACTGGAGCTTGGGACTGGCAGAGGTCTCATTATGAAGGCTCTGAGAGAGTCAGTCTCCCAGGACTGCTGAAAGAAAACATCACAACACAGGGCGACCAGAATGGATACTGTCACAGTCTCCTAACAGTGGAGGCTGGCTGGGAGTTCAATGGGAAAGGTGTTGTCAGCATAGGTCTTTCTGAGAGCTGGGCGCGGGGAAGGGGGTGGGCGGCGGCGAGAACCCATGTGATTGCTCAGTGGTCTGCCATCACTGACATTCTCCAACTTGAGCCTCCATCACCGACCTTTACCTCTGCCCTCACAGGGAATCCTCTCTCCCTCCCTGTGTGAGTCATGGTGGTTCTCCTTCTAGGACAGACCAATGAGTCAGGCTACTCTAATAACCTCATCTTAACTGGATCATTAACAAAGACTTCATTTTCAAAATATTAATTCTCAGAGCCAGGCGTTGGTGCTCACACCTGTCATCCTAGCTGCTCAGGAGGCTGAGATCTGAGGATCAAGGTTCAAAGCCAGCCAGGGAGGAAAGTCCGTGAGACTCCTATCTCCAATAAACCACCAGAAAACTGGAAGTGGCGCTGTGGCTCAGGTGGTAGAGTGCCAGCCTTAAGCTGAAGAGCTGAGGGACAGAGCCCAGGCCCAGAGTTCAAGCCCTGCAACCAACAAAATAAAAAATAATAATTCTCAGGATCTTGGGGAGAGGGTTTCAACATCTGTTGGGGGAGCACAATTCAGCCCAGAGTAGGAACCATGGTCTGTGAGTGGACATTCTGGCCTGAGGGATCAGCCAGAGGGCAGACTATAGCAAAGGCAATAGGGTTCAGCTGCTCAGCTGCAGATGGTACTGGGGGGTGGGGAGGGCAGGAAACATCTAGAAACAATTCTTCCTGCACTCCCTTCCTTGAGCCAAACTGGATTTGAAGGATTAAACCAGAAAGTTCTCTGCTGGAGAGCAAAATGAAGCTATGTGTGAATATAAACATTTGGTGTCAAAGTTAAGGAAGGAGAGAAGAAGGAAGGAAGGAAGGGAAGGAGGGAGGGAGGGAGGGAAGAAGGAAGTAAGGGAGGGAGGAGGGAGGGAGGGAGCGAGGGAGAGAGGGAAGGAGGAAGGAGGGAAGGAAGGAAGGAAGGAAGGAAGAAAGAAAGGAAGGAAGGAAGGAAGGAAGGAAGGGAAGGAGGGAGGGAGGGAAGGAGGAAGGAAGGAAGAGAGGAAGGAAGGAAGAAAGGAGGGAGGGAGGGAGGGAGGAAGGGGCGGATGGAGAAAACCTTGGGTATCATTCAGTGGTTAGCAATGTTGAAGGCCCAGGTTCCTGCGGGACAGGAGGGAGGGAAGGTCTACTGGGGTTCCTGTGGTCGTGGGGAAGGCTGCCTGGAAGCTGGCGTCAGGATCCACAGGGATGGCCAGACACTGAGACAGGACCCGGGTCCAGTGCCCGGAGCAGCTCTCCACCCGGGGCAGGGTGGGGCCATTGGGCCCATTGGAGGGTCACGGCCTGCTGCCCGGTCCTCACACGAGTCCTCACCCCACCTGAGTGCTCACCCTACCCGAGTCCTCACACATGAGTGCTCATCCCACCCCAGACCTCACCCCACCCCAGTGCTCACCCTACCCGAGTGCTCACCCCACCCCAGACCTCACCCCACCCCAGTGCTCACCCCATCCCAGTGCTCACCTCACCCAAGTGCTCCCCCCACCCCAGTGCTCACCCCACCCCAGTCCTCACACATGAGTCCTCACCCCACCCCAGTGCTCACCCCACCGGAGTGCTCACCCCACTGTAGTCCTCATCCCACCCGAATGCTCACCCCACCCGAGTGCTCCCCCCACCCCAGTGCTCACCCCACCGGAGTGCTCACCCCACTGTAGTCCTCATCCCACCCGAATGCTCACCCCACCCGAGTGCTCCCCCCACCCCAGTGCTCCCCCCACCCCAGTGCTCCCCCACCCCAGTGCTCCCCCCACCCCAGTGCCCCCCCCACCCCAGTGCTCATCCCAGTGCTCACCCCACCCCAGTGCTCACCCCAGTGCTCACCCCACCCTAGTGCTCACCCCAGTGCTCCCCCCACCCCAGTGCTCCCCCCACCCCAGTGCCCCCCCACCCCAGTGCTCACCCCAGTGCTCACCCCACCCCAGTGCTCACCCCAGTGCTCCCCCCACCCCAGTGCTCACCCCACCCCAGTGCCCCCCCACCCCAGTGCTCATCCCAGTGCTCACCCCACCCCAGTGCTCACCCCAGTGCTCACCCCACCCCAGTGCTCACCCCAGTGCTCACCCCACCCCAGTGCTCACCCCAGTGCTCCCCCCACCCCAGTGCTCCCCCCACCCCAGTGCTCCCCCCACCCCAGTGCTCACCCCAGTGCTCACCCCACCCCAGTGCTCACCCTAGTGCTCACCCCACCCCAGTGCTCACCCCACCCCAGTGCTCCCCCCACCCGAGTGCTCCCCCCACCCAGGTCCTCACCCCACCCGAGTGCTCCCCTCACCTCAGTGCTCACCCCACCCCAGTGCTCACCTCAGTGCTCCCCCCACCCGAGTGCTCTCCCCACCCAGGTCCTCACCTGCGGCCGCGCAGGCGCCAGGTGGCTTCTTGTGCACGGCACTCCTCCCGGGAGCACTGCGAAACGGGTCCAAACGCATCTTTCTAAGGCAGAACCAGGGGACAACTAAACCTGAAGAGTATAGGCGGTGCGATCCTCCCGAGGGACAGATAAACGTCCGTCACCCGCTGCTTCCTGCATGATTATCGGGGTCATTTCCGTTTGCTTTCCATGGATCCACCTTTGTTTCCTATCACTGACCTAGAAAACCCACTCCGCACGCGGACAGTAGACTCCGGTGGAGCACCGCGGAGGACAAACCGCGCATGCGCGGGGTGTGTCAGCGCCGCAGCGAACGCGGAGGACAAACCACGCATGCGCAGATGTCACGCTCCGTGCCGTGCCGCAGCTGCCTGCGAAACTCAGGCAGAGGCTGGGAACGATTTCATCTCAAGGACAGAGCGACAGAGCAGGCCGCAGCCTGCCTCCGCCTCACCGCGCTGCGCCACGCGCCCTCGGTTGAAACCTCTCCTCTGCTTTATTAATTCATGTGTGGCTGCCCCGGTGCAAACCATCGGTGAGAACGATGAGAAAACGACTCTTGGGCTCTTGAGGGGAAGGGGTTGCCGTTGCGATTTTGAGGACCCAGTACCCTTCACCCCCAAGTGACCCCTCAGGGCTCCCCGGAGTTTTCGGGACCAGCATTGGCAGGAGAGGTGCTCACTGCAGGACAAACACTGC